AAGAAAAAAGCCGGAAGTGGCGCTGTGGCTCAAGTGGTAGAGCGCTAGCCTTGAGCTGAAGAGCTGAGGGACAGAGCCCAGGCCCAGAGTTCAGGCCCCATGACTGGCAAAAAAAAAAAAAAGAAAGAAAGAAAGAGAAAGAAAGAAAGGTTTACAGTCAAGCAAGGAGACACTAGTATGTCAGGCTGTGATGAGTACTATTCCAGAGGACTACATGTAGGCATTAGGGAATCCTGGACAGCTATCTATTATTAGAGGCTTAAAATAATAAAGATATGGGTTTAAATAGTAGAAACTAGATAAGATTCAAGAAGTATTTCCAAAGATAAGGAGCTACTAACTAGGCACTGGTGGCTCATACCTGTATTCCTAGCTACTCAGGAGGCTGAGATCTGAGTATTGTGGTTCAAAGCCAGCCTCGGCAGGAAAGTCCGTGAGACTCTTATCTCCAATGAAACACCAGAAATCTGGAAGTGGTGCTGTGGCTCAAGTGGTAGAGCCCTAGCCTTAAGCTGAGGAGCTGAGGGACAGTGCCCAGGTCCAGAGTTCAAGCCCCATGAGTGACAAAATAAATAAATAAAAAGGTTCTGAATTTGGACCGGGTGTTTTCCCTCAGCTGGCCCTTTTCAGGAAGCACAGAGTCCACAACAGAATATAGAGAGGATAGTATTTCTGTAGCTATTACCTTGGACCAGAGCCACTTGGCCTTTTCCATGTAGAGTTCGGCGAGTCTGGACTCCCCGGCATTGAGGAGAGCGTTGTAGGCTGTCTGGTGGTGACCAGCCTTTCGAGCCACTCTGGCACTCTGTAGCCAGCATTCTCCAATCATCTCATTGTAATCTGGTCTAAAGGCATGCGGCAGCACATGAAGAAAAAGAGCATTTGTAAGTGTGCTCAGGAACCCAACTACAATACCTCTTTCCAAAAAAAGTTAAGGGGAGATGGGAAGGGATGGAAAGGGGAAACAAAGGAGGAGACAACAATGCTTGATAAGAAATGTACTCATTATCTTGTCCATGTAATTGTAACCCCTCTGTACAGTATTTTCACAATTAAAAAAAAAAAAGAGTTAAGCTTCTTAATGTACTATTTAAAAGGAATTAACAAATACTTGGTTAAAAAAGAAAAAAAACACAAAAAAACCCTGATTTCAATTTCAATGTTCCATTTTTATCTGTTATAAATTAGGGAGATTAGCTGGGTGCCTGTGACTCATGCCTGTAATCCTAGCTACTCAGGACGCTGAGATCTGAGGATCGGGGTTCAAAGTCAGCCCAGGCAGGAAAGTCTGTGACACTTTCATCTCCAATAAACCACTAAGAAATGGGAAGTGGCACTGTGGCTCAAATGGTAGTGCACTCGGCTTGAGCTGAAGAGCACAGGGACAGTGCCCAGGCCCAGAGTTCAAGCCCCACAACCCACAAAGAAAAATAATAATAAAAAAAAATTAAGAGCCAGGCACCGGTGGCTCACACCTGTAATCCTAGCTACTCAGGAGGCTGAGATCTGAGGATCACCGTTGAAAGCCAGCCCAGTCAGGAAAGTCTGTGAGACTCTTATCTCCTATAAACCACTAGAAGACCGGAAGTGGCACTGTGGCTCAAGTGGTAGAGTGCTTGCTTTGAGCTGAAGAGTGCAGGGACATCACCCAGGCCCAGAGTTCAAGTCCCACGACCGACAAAATCAATCAATAAATTAGGGAGATTTTATTTTATTTTGTGGTTCCATCAAACTCATGGCAAGGAACATGCTAGTCAAAGCTAGGAGCTGGTGGCTCAGGCCTGTCATGCTAACTACTCAGGAGGCTGAAAACTGAGGATCACGGTTCAAAGCCAGCCTGGGCATGAAAGTTCATGAGTTTCTTCTCTAGTGAACCACCAGACAACTAAAAGTGGTGCTGTGGCTCAAAGTGGTAGAGTGCTATCCTTAAGCAAAAGAGCTCAGGTACTGTGCTCAGGTCCCAAGTTCAAGCCCCATGACAGGAAGAAAAAAAAAACAAAAAACAAAAAACAAGCTAGTCAAATGTTCTACCACTGAGTTTTATCCCCAGTCCAGGACTTTGTATTGACTTATACTGGCACTTCCCCAAAATATGCTTATTACCATTTAAAGAAGGGTGGGGCGGGCAGGGGCTAGGAATGTGGCTTTGTGGTAGAGCACTATCTTTGAGCAAAAGAAGCTCAAGTCAGTGCCCAGGCCCTGAGTTCAAGGCCCAAGACTGGCAAAAAAAAAAATAAGGTAAATGGCATATAAAATTGATTCTCATGTAGGCCTGTTTCAATTATACAATGTATTCTTGAGAATAACAGAAAAATGCAAATGAGGAAATAAAATACTCCCTAGCACCATCCAAACATCATACTAAATTCAAGATTAACTGGCATTAAGAAAAAAAAAGGAATGTTGAAACCTTTTGTTGAGACTCAGCAAAGCCCTCCGGAGGGCCAGGATGGGCTCCTTGGCTCTGTAGGAATTCTGGGTCATCTCTAGACGAGCCACCCAGTTGAGAGAGTCCTCGTGACACCCATCACCTGGAAACTGGTGAAACAGAGGTCTGACGCCATGCTCTAACTCACACAACATGTGCAACCTGCCAACAGACACAGCACCTGAGTAGGTCATGCATAAAGCATGGGCATTCCATCAGCATGGAGAATCAATGATGAGTAGTTTTTCTTTGGTAGAATCTGAATATATATATTCTTATTATGTAAACAGCAACAGTTATATGTTCGATTTCAAATTGAGCATAAGCAACGATTTATGCTAGTTACAATACTGAATGTTTTGCTGTGATTCCCCCAATTTCTTATGAACTAAATGGAAATACTTAACAACCAAACTTTTCCACCTGCATTAAAATAAAATACGGATTTGCTATAAATCAACATGAACTCTGTATATTCTGGTGCTACTATAAGAAGGCCTGTGCAATGAATGGAAGTTTGATTTTCTTTTCTTTTTAAGAGGGCACAAATATAGCCCAAGGGTATTCTGAGTAGGTACAGAATGGAAATTATGGCAAGTATAATGTGCCAGACTCAGGAGATGTCTCAGTTACTAAGGTTAGTTACACAGGAAATCAGCTATGACATTACAAGAGAAAAAGAACTACTTATGGTTTTTTAAAAATTAGTTTTCCAAGCCAGGCGCTGGTGGCTCACGCCTGTAATCCTAGCTACTTAGGAGGCTGAGATCTGAGGATCGCGGTTCAAACCCATCCTGGGCAAGAAAGTCTGTGAAACTCTTATCTCCAATAAACTCTCAGAAAACCGGAAGTGGCGCTGTAGCTCAAGTGGTAGAGTGCTCGCCTTGAGCTGAAGAGTTGAGGGACAGTGCTCAGGCCCAGAGTTCAAGCCCCATAACAGACAAAAAAAAATTAGTTTTCCAATAAAAAGGATGGATGTTAGAAGATTTAAAAAACAAAAATCTATAGGGTGACTGTAAGGTAAAAGAATGAAAGAACCATTTTCAGTAGCTAAGTAATCAGCCAAACACACAATCAAAATTATTTACTGATGAAAAATTCCAATCCTGAGCCAGGTACTGTTGGCTTATGCTTGTGATGCTAGCTGCCCAGGAGGCTATGATCTGAGGACTACAGTTCAAAGCCAGCCTGGGCAGGAAAGTATGTGAAAGTCTTACTTACAATTGGCCAGGAAAAATTTGGAAAAAGGAAGGTTCAGGTGTTACAGCACCAGTCTTGAGTAAAAAAGCTAAGGGACAGCAGCCAGGCCCTGAGTTCAAGACTCCGGATCAGCACCATAAAAAATGTATAAAACTAAATAAAAAAGTGGGAATCCCAAGATACCTCACAATGTATTCATATCCTCGCTGGTAGGAGCCTCTTTCAAAGCTTGCAGCCGACAGTGGTACAATCTGCTCTGCTCTCACGAGTTTCAATGTGTCATAAAAAGCTGTGACATCTTTTTTCTTGGCTGATAGTAGTAGCTGCCCTAGTCTGACACTCCATGTTGTAGACTTTCTATCTGAAAGACAAATGCAGAGTTAAGGAATGCCAAGGTCGATGGGCTCAAAGGCCAGCTTGGTTTCACCTGATGAAATGGTCAGCAGAAATAACATATAGTTTCCTTTTGTTTTATTTTGTGCTGGTCCTGGGGCTTGAACTTAGAGCCTGGGCACTGTTCTTGAACTCTTTTTGCTCAAGGCTAGTGCTCTACCACTTAAGCCACAGCTCCACTTCCAGCTTTTTGTTAGTTAATTGGAGACGAGAGTTTCATGGACTTTCCTGCCTGAGCTGGCTTCAAACAGTGATTCTCAGCTTTCAGTCTCTGAGTTGCTAAGATTACAGGCGCCAGCCACCAGTGCCCAGGTAATTGTTTTTACATCAAAAGCCCCAACAGGAGTTCATAAAATAGAATCAATATTAATAGCAAATTAAAACTGCTTCTACTTCAGCAATCTGTTTACCTGCCGCAAGATAGTTCTCCACCAAGTCCCACTGTGACAGCTTCCACGCTGCTTCCACTCTGTACGTGTTTAATTCCTCAATCCATTCAGACCTAGTACAACAAACTCCATTCAATTCTAGTTTACTTAAAGAAGCACTTAGAAATATTTCATAGGTTTAGAGATTCTATTTGTTGTACTTACTTATTACATTGGTATTATACTGAATTTTCTATTCATTTATAAAATAATTATCTCTATCCAGGAACACCCAGAAAAATGCAATCTTTTCATTCCATTGTTATGATGATGAATGTAGTTTTCATTATTATTTGGGCTTTTTTGAGGGAGAGACTCATGATTTATCCCATTAACTATATCTGATAGAGCCATTTAAGAATGAGATTCCTTGACAAATTAAACTGTGCCACATATTGAAAGAGAACTTATTCTATCACAGACTGTTATAAAATGATCTGCTTCACTTTAAGAGCCTGAAGAAACAGAGCCAGTGAACACACAAATTGAGAGAAAAGTAATGCTAATAATTTCAGAATTGGGTGTATGTGTCAAAGGCAAGCTGTGAGCTGCTTTAAAAACATAAAGAAACAAAAAAAGTATAAGAAAAAAAGATGCTTCTTCAGCAGTCATTTTGATTTTCTTTCTTCTTTTTTTTTTTGGTCAGTCCTGGGGCTTGAACTCAGAGCCTGGGCGCAGTCCCTCAACTCTTCTGCTCAAGGCTAGCACTCTACCACTTGAGCCACTGCACCACTTCTGGCTTTTTTTGCTTATGTGGTGCTGAGGAATCAAACCCAGGGCCTCGTGCATGCAAGGCAAGCGCTCTACCACTGAGCCACCTTCCAGCCCCCATCTTGAATTTCTATGGCACAGTTCTCTTTCATTGAGCACGGCAAACACTGGGATGTGTGTGTCCCAGACCCAAAGGGAAGACAGGGAGAGCCTACTTGTTCAGTGTTATCATGAGGAAACGTGACAACCCCACGTTGAGCGTGACAAAATCCCTGTCCTTCCACCTGCCTCACACCTGAGGGTGGGTATTTTTTTTTTTTTTGCCTAATGAATTATTCTTTTCTTAAAAACAAAAACAAATAAGAACCCCTAACAATCACAACAACTACTACCTCCGAGTGGCCTGTGTGTTCTAAGATCCCATTCTTGGTTGACCAAAGCTCCCTGTCCACTGCAGTCGGTTGGGGGCTGGCATACATTAAAGAATAAGGTTTCTGGTTACAAGAGGAAAACAGTTGCAAGGGCAGATACACTGCCTTCTGAGACTGCCTATCAATATTTTGTTCTTATGCTCATCGCCATGAAAATACATAAGACATTTAATTACTTGAGTAAATATTAAGCTCCCTAAGTCACAAATCAGAGGGTTCCCGTTTCGACAGAATAGTGGGAAGAAATCACTCTGTTATGAACCATACCTGCTGGCGTGTACTCCATTTACTTGAGTGATTACAGAAGAAAGCTGACCAAGACCTAGCATGGACTTCACCACCCCATGATAGTGAATGATCTGGAAAGGTAAAAAGAGGTAAGATCCTGAGTCTCACTTCACACTTACTTAGGGATCCCAGAACAGTTCAAATGACATTTATTAAAAACACCATTTGCCTCAGTGCCTACTTTCCTTAGTTTAGTAACTAACTTGCTTGGCTGATAACAAAACCCACTATCCTGTGTACATTTCAAACTAACAGAAAAAAAAAAATCCAGATAACCTAAAAAAAATCTGATTGAACTTATGGAATGCAAAAGTACCCAATACCTTTAACATTTGTTTGTTCTATTTCTCATGTAGGAGTTAAAATTGAAAGGTTATGTATATGTCTATTAATATAGATTTGGAGATTTATAACTAAAAAGTTAAATATGAATACATAATAGTCTTTAAAACTGAAGATTGTGAAAAATAAGGACTTTGTGTATTGAACTTCTGAGAAAATAACATGTCAAATATGACAAAAGCAAAACCCCAAGGTGAGAAAAAATTAAAGTCTAAGTTATAAATCCATGATTTTGAACCCCTTTCCTGTCCCAGTAAACAGGTGATCCAATGAGCTCAAATTCCAATAGACTATTTCTGAGGTCTGCAGTGGACAAGAACTGTGTGTGTGTGTGCATGCGTGCTGTTTAGCTGTTTATACATATATTTATGTATTCATTTATTTTTTATAACTATAATAATTGTTTTAACAGTACTGAGGCTGGGGCCCAGGATTGAGTACTATCTCTTATCTTCACTCAAAGCTAGCACTCCATCACTTTGAGCCACAGCTCCAATTTACTGGTGGTAAACTGGAATAAGAGTCTCATGAACCTTCCTGCGTTGGCTAGTTTTGTGTGATCCTCAGATCTCAGCCTCCTGGATAGCTAGGATGACAGGCGTGAGCCACCAGTACCTGGCTTACATGTATATTTTAATGTACATATATTCCATAATAATTGCAGTGATCTGAGGGATTTCTAAGGACATAGAAATGATTTTTGAGATTGGCTAGAACAAGTCTCTAATAGTATCTATTAGTCAGGAAATCAAACTTTTGCAAGCACACGCCACCTCTGGTAGAAGCAGCACCAAAGCCCAGGTTGCTGAATTCCTATGTGTGCTCTGTTAACTTATCTTACCTGATCTGGTTCTAGCTGAATAGCTCGGTCATAGCAAGCCGTGGCATCCCTCAGCAAGCCGGTGCTTTCATGTTCAAGGATCTGTTCTTTCAAAGATGGCTCTGCCTTTCGAATCGCACTCACGCCGGCCACTCCATCTGCTTCATGCATAGCAGCGTACAATTTCTTTTTCAACCATTGCAAAAGAACCAAAAGAGAGGAAACCAATAAGGCTATGACCACCAGACCGCATACAAAGAGTATATGAGAAACTTCTTCAAAGTACTACTAAGAATTTATTTCAAGGCAGATGCACAATAGTTTTTAGCTATTTCTGGAAATTCTACTATTTCAACACTATTATTCCACAAATCTATATTGGTAACTACTATTAATCATGAGGGTTGCAAAGAACTCCAAGGCTCTGAAACTTTCTTTGAATTCAACTGATAACAAATTCTGTTGAATAGAATCCACACTTTTTTTTTTTGGTTGTAGGGCTTAAACTCAGGGCCGAGACACTGTTGTTGAGTTCTTTTTGCTCAAGGTGAGTGCTCTACCACTTTGAGCCACAGTGCTACTTCCAGTTTTCTGGTGGTTCATTGGAGATAAGAGTCTCACGAACTTTCCTGCTTGGGCTGGCTTTATACCATGACCTTCTGATCTCAGCCTCCTCCACAGCTAATACTACAAGTATGAGCCACTTGTGCCCAGCCAAATTTTGAATTTTTCAATAAGTTTTCATTTTATTTTCTAATTTTCTGACAGTAGCAAAAAGTACAGTTTATTGAGCCTAGCAAAGTTTATTAGTATAGAAAGATACTTTCACCAGGGAAAAGTGGGTCATCTCAGAAAGGGACATCAGAATGACATATATAAACATTTTAATATATTGGTATTGAGATACTTTCAGCAAATCTAAGACATCAACCGTTAGGTCAGCTATGGTGGCCCATGGTTGTAAAATCAACTACACAGAAGACATTGTTAAGAGGATCACAGTCCAAGGACAGCTCCGTCAAATAAGTACAAGACTCTATCTAAAACATACAAATGAAGAAAGCAGGGGAGGCATATCTCAAGTGATAAAGTACCTGCCTAGTAAGCATGAGACACTGAGTTCAAATCCCTGTAGTGCAAAAGAAAAAGAAAAAGAAAAAAAGAAAAAAGAAAAAGAGAAAGAAAGTTGGAAAGGAGGAAGGAACAAATGAATTGAGGGGAAGGAATGGATGAATGATACTGCTATCAGTTTCTTTTGACATACTGGGGTTTGAACTCAGGGATTCATACTTGCTAAGCAAGTGCTCTATTGCTTGAGCCCAGTCCAACTAGCACTCATTTTTAGGACATTATCTCCAAGAAGCTATTCTTTTTTTTTTTTTGTCAGTCGTGGGGCTTGAACTCTGGGCTTAGGCACTATCTGTGTGCTCTTCAGCTCAAGGTGAGTGCTCTACCACTTGAGCCACAGTACCACTTCTGGTTTTCTAGTGGTTTATTAGATATAAGAGTCTCACGAAGTTTCTTGCCCAGGCTGGCTTTGACCCATGATCCTCAGATCTCAGCCTCGTGAGTAGCCAGGATTACAGGCATAAGCCACAGGCACCTGGCTTCCAAGAAGCTATTCTTGAACCTTAATTTGCCTACTCCTCTCTCCTGACTCTAGAGGAAAAGGTGTGTGCTTCTCTACAGAAAATCTATTATCACTTTAGCTAAGACATTATACCAAACCACCACAGGCATCTAATGCATCCATACACGCCACAAAATGAACATCACTGTTAAGACTGCCAGTGTGAATTCTCATCACTAAATTCAGTGTAATTTCAAACCTGTAAAAATCCAAGATGCTCCCGAATATTTTGCTTTTTTTCTGTAATGAATGATTCAAAGTGCATTACAGCTCGTGTGTATGCTTTGGAGCGAAAGGAAGCTACTGCCAGAGTATCCTGAGGAATGAGGTCCAGAAAACGAGTCACGCTCTGATAGCCACCCTCTTGTGGGCTTGATACTGCATTGTAAAAGCAAAACAAGACAGTAATCGGATTGCAGAAAATTTGAAAGCATCAGTTTAAGTATGTAACTCCAATTCATTTAGTAAAATAAATGACTCCAGATTAGGGCATAATATTTAAGATGTTTACTACCAACAGGAATTGAGGGCAAACAATGGAAGTGATGGCCTTGATCAACGTACTTCTAAACCGCCATGCTAAACTGAAACCCCTTTGTACAACTATTGAGAGATAATTAAAAACAAAAACAAAACAACTACCAGGAGGATGACTGCTCAGAGGTTTTGCTCCAATTGTACCACTAGTACTTACTTTACTTTGCATGGTTACTTGATCTCTGGAGTCTTTCCTTCTCATTTATAAAAGAAACATGTCAGTCCCTGTCAGACCTCCCTTACCTATGTTTGAAAAGGGTAGTTTCAGATGTAAACTATTCTTAAATGTTAAAAAGACAAAAAAAGGATATGAAAGACACAAAACTAGTTATTATTTATGACTGTAAAATACTGAAAGAATGCCACTTGAAGCACAAAATTAATCAAGTAGCCTTCTTTTCTATTTTACAGAGTTTACACTTCTTTTGTTTCTGTGTAGTACTGGGACTTGAACTAAGGACTTGGCACATGCTAGGAACATGGTATACTTCTGCCTCACAAATGTTACTCTTTTTTTTTGCCAGTCCTGGAGTTTGAACTCAAGGTCTAGGCACTGCCCTGAGCTTCTTTTACTCAAGACTATCACTCTACCACTTGAGCCACAGCACCACTTCCAGCTTTTTCTGTGTTTGTGGTACTGAGGAATCAAACCCAGGGCTTCATAAATGGTAGGCAAGCACTCTACCACTGAGCCACATTCTCAGTCCTCAAGCATTATTCTTTCTTTTTTTTTTTTTTTTTGGGTTGGTTGTGAGGCTTGAACTCTGGGCCTGGGCGCTGTCCCTCAGCTCTTCAGCTCAGGGCAAATGCTGTACCACTTAAGCCACGGTGCCACTTCCAGTCTTCTGGTAGTTAATTGTAGATAAGAGTCTTATGGACTTTCCTGCCTGGGCTGGCCTTGAACCATGATCCTCAGATCTCAGCCTCCTGAGTAGCTAGGATTACAGGTGTGAGCCATTGGCGCCGGCCCAAGTATTTTTTTTTCATATATGTATTTTTTATTGTTAAAATACTGTACAGAGGGGTTACAGTTATATGAGTAAGGTAATGAGTACATTTCCTCTCGAGCATTGTTACCTCCTCCTTTGTTTTCCCCTACCATCCGTTCCCTTCCTACCTCCTCAACTCCTCCCTCCCCACCTGAAATTGTACTACGTATTATTCTTAAAAGATAGAAATTTATTTGCAGTATTAGCAAAAATGGTGATAAGAGTTAGTACTTCATTTTCTAGTACCACTGTCACATTCAGAAACAGGAACTACTATTAATGGAAAATACAGCAATAGCCACATTCCAGGGAGAACTACTATTAATGGAAAATACAGCAACAGCCACATTCCAGGGAGAAGCAGTTTTCCCCAATATAAAATTATTTGCAAGTACACAAAATTTTAGAAAAATAAAAAATTACTGTGTTTAACAGGTATATGATAAGAATTTTTCAGGTAAAACCTCTTTCCTGATTATTAATTAGTATAAATTCTTAGGGTCATGAAATAAATGAAATGAAAATCTCCTTTCAAGCTTAAAACTGAAATGGGAAAAAGATATACACATATGTAAACAGTATGTATGAAAAGGAGTAAATTACTTAATGGTGAAGGCTAGACTAATAAAAATATCAGTATTCTTTATAATTACATAAATGTAAATGCATATATTATACATTAAACCTCATCTAGCCCTAACAATCTACTAAGAGAGACAATCTTAAAAAAATTAGATGTTTCTTGTCCAAGGAATTGAGAAGCAGAAGTTACGGAGGTCCTTTCCCCCACCCCAAGCAGCACTGTAGATCAAAGCGTGGGCTTTGTGAATGCTAGGCAAGTGCTCTACCACTGAGCTGAACTTCACTCCCAGTCCTAAGAAGCGGTCTTAGCATTAGAAGAAGCATTCACTGCTTCTTCTCAATGAAAACAACACCTTCTTACCCATTTGAGAAATGCACAAAAACAAGTCTTTTTAAAAGCTGATGCTTAAACTGCAGAACTGACTAGAAAGAGCCAATGGGAGTAACTGAAAGAAGAAAATCACAGTCTGAACTCACCCACTGGTTTGGCCTTCTCTTTGCTCGATTTGCTCTGTGGAGCATCCTCAGCGTTCATTTCCTGAAATCTGTGCCTGGCCCACTGGGCGAGGTGGTCCAGCATGGAGAACACGGTCTGTATGCTCAGCTGACACAGGTCGGATGCATGGTCTTGGGCACTGGCACTCTGCTGATCATCATGCTTCAAAACTGCCATGATTTCTGCATAGACCTAAGAGAATTTGTTTTATGCTTAGTGATGGCCATGTAATATTTTATTATTATTATAAAGAATAACCATGTATGGCGATGATTTTCACAGAACAAAAGATGACCGATTAATAATCTTTCCTATCTAATTAAACCAACTGAATGAGAAAAACTAAAGTGAATGAAGGTAAAAATATTAAAACTTTTTCTATTATTCAAACTATGACAGGAAGTCTATTAGCAGTAAAAAAAAAACCTTAGAATAATTTTCCCACACCAACTATAAAATTAATTTCAGAGTAATTAAAGGACTACTGTCTGGGAGACAGAGAGGGAAAAAAAGAACACTGTCCAAAAACGTACTTGTTACCCTGTGGTAACTGTACCTCAGTATATCGCTTTTATAATAACAGTAAATTTTTTTAAAAGATAATTTTACAGATAATGATAATTTAATGTGTATTTAAAAAATAAAATATCGGGCTGGGAAGGTGGCTCAGTGGTAGAGTGTGTATGAGGCTGTGAGTTCGATTCCTTAGCACCACATAAGCAAAAAAGAAAAAACCAGAAGTGGCGCTGTGGCTCAAGTGGTAGAGCGCTAGCCTTGAGCTGAAGAGCTGAGGGACAGTGCCCAGGCCCAGAGTTCAGGCCTCATGACTGAACAAAAAACAACAACAACAAAACAAAATAAAAAATAAAATCTGGAACTAAAGGTTTTTAATGCCAGGCGCTGGTGGCTCATGCCTGTAATCCTAGCTACTCAGGAGACTGAGATCTGAGGATCTTGGTTCAAAGCCAGCCCAGGCAGCAAAGTGCATGAGACTCTTATTTCCAATAAACCACCAGGAAATCAGAAGTGGTGCTGTGGCTCAAGCGGTAGAGCACTTGCCCTGAGCTGAAGAGCTGAGGGACAGTGCCCAGGCCCAGAGTTTAAACCCCACGACCAACAGCAACTTAAAGAAATGACAAATGAGGGGCTGGGAAGGTGGCTCAGTGGTAGAGCCCTTGCCTTGCATGCCTGAGGCCCTGGGTTCGATTCCTCAGCACCACATAAGCAA